GGGAGGATAATGGATCGGACTCCATTGTGCTCAAGCCGCAGATCGGATCCATCCTGCGGGGATCATCGGAGGGGGTGTCACCAAGTGTTTCAGCACCGGGTGACACCAGCCTTAGGGACATCTCTGATTAGGATTACATTGACACCTGCAGCAGATTGCACACCCCTGTGTATTTTGAACCTTGTGCAGGAAACGTGCATGGAACACAGATTTCTAGCTCTGCATTCTGGTGTGAACGGGCCCTAATAGAAAACATAAAGCCCCACTTCAGGGTAAAACTAATTTTTCACTATCCCTCCATGCATTTTTTTTCTCCTTACCTTGTGAAGCCAGATATACTCACCTAGTTGCTTCTTAAGGTCCCTCAACACCTCCTCCGCCATTTCTGGTTGGGGGGATACAGATCTAGAGCTGTGAAGCCCCCCCCCCCTTACCTTCCCCTCTGAGATTATGCCTGAGTGGGGCTTGTGGATGGAGTCCATTGAACACATTTTCCTTTCCCCCATCATTAACACACACATGTGAGAAATCCATATTTGTAAGTATGTATTCCTAACTCAGAAATGTCCTTTCTATTGCTCAGCCTCCTCCAACTCCGTCTCTTAATTCCATTTTTTTTTTGTTGTTGCAGGGTGGCAATGTTCATTCTCCACCTGTATGTAGGAACAGAATCACCCTCTCACTCTCACTTTTTGTTAAAATGTATGTGGCCCTAAATAATTAATTTTTTTTCTGTGTTTATTCACATATGTATAATTTATAAATCATAGTTTATATAATTTTCATGAACTTCTTCCATCTGAAATACCTGGTTGATGCTGCTAGTCACCTTTGTTCCTTGTTCTAAACTGATCACACAAAGCACAGAAGCTGATCTGTGTTAGCATAGTCAGTTTTCATCCATTGACTGGCCATTCAGAGGTACAGGACACAGTGCAGACACACAGCATGCCTATATTGGGTAGACTGTTCAGTCACCACACCCCCTGACCAATCAAAGCCTGTCTCCTGAACACAACCCTTGCTCTGACACATGACAGAACTTTTGAATGTTGTAAAAATGGTAAGAAAGTTCATTTCTGAAACTAAGCAAAAGCAAATATGACACATGCATAGTTATAACTGTGTTAGAAAGTGTCTGCTACATTATATGCTCACAACTACTTTAAGAGGAGTACAGATCCAAGGTGCTGTGATGTTTTCAGGATACTATGCACAACCTCACACCAGCCACGATCTGCCTGCATTGCGGAGAGAAGCAGAGACATCCAGTGATGATGTCACCGAGTCTAAAATAAGGTATATGATAAAGACAGAGATCTATAATTTCAAAATTGAATTAGCATGTTAATGAGAGAGAAAGGAGAAACCAAGGAAGTCAAGCTATAAGCAGATTAAAGCTCAGCTTTAAGCACTTGCCTACCAGGCACTTGTACCCCCTTCCTTAACAGGCCATTTTTCAGCTTTCAGCATTGTTGCGCTTCGAATGACAATTGCACAGTCATGCAACACTGTAGCCTTATAAAAAATTTTATCTTTTTTTCACACAAAATGAGCTTTCTTTTGGTGGTAATTACTTGCCGCTGGGTTTTTTATTTTTTTGCGCTATAAACAAAAAAAGAGCAAAAAGTTTGGAAAAAAAAGTTTTTCTTTGTTTCTATTATAAAATTTTGCAAAACGGTAATTTTTCTCCTTCACTGATGTGCGTTGATGAGGCTGCACTGATAGGCAGCACTGATGGGCACTGATAGGCAGCACTGATGGCCACTGATAGGCGGCACTGATAAGGTGGCACGGATAGGCAGCACTGATGGGCAGCACTGATAGGTGGCACTGATAGGTGGCACTGATGGGCGGCACTGATGAGCTGGCACTGATGATGGGCACTGACTGGCGGCACTGCTGGACACTGACTGGCGGCACTGCTGGGCATGGATGGGTGGCACTGCTGGGTGGCACTGATGGATGGCACTGCTGGGCTGCACTGATGGGCACTGGTGGGTGGCACTGGTGGGCACTGATGGGCACAGGTGGGTGGCACTGGTGGGCACTGATGGGCACAGGTGGGTGGCACTGGTGGGCACAGGTGGGTGGCACTAGTGGGCACTTGTGGGCGGCACTGCTGGGCACTTGTGGGTGGCACTGCTGGGTGGCACTGCTGGGCACTGATCATCAGGAAACTGATCATCAGTGCCCTGATGATCCAGTGCCGATCCCTCCTCTGACAACTGCCGGTTCTCGGCAGTACTTTCCTCGTGCTGTGACAGCATGAGGAAAGTGCAGCCGATAACCGGCAATTGCATTTCCCGGTGATCAGTGTGTCATTGGAAAGACCGCTGTGATTGGCCTTTTACCATATCACGTGATCAGCTGTGTCCATAGGACACAGCAATCACGGAGATCACCGGGTGCGCACCCCCAGGGCCGTGCAGAAGAGTGCGTTCCGGGAGGATGTCATATGACATCCACCCAGAACTGGCCGGCCACAGTGAAGCCATCAATCAGCTATCTGCGGTTGGCAAGTGGTTAAATATTAGGTCTATACATCAGACAATAAAGATGGGCAACTGAGGAGGAAAGAGGGACAGGGGGATTTGGATCCAAATGAGGGAGAGTTGGGAGCTATATTATGTATTCCTTGATTGTACTTTCAGCAAAATAAATAATGAAATATACCTTATTGTTTTACCTGTCAAAACCTGTAATCCAGTATAGCTAGGTGGATAGTAAGAAAGATGGCTTCCCTATGGCCTCGTTCACATGGGCGAATCACAGCTTACACCTGTGTGAGGGCTGTGATTTCCCGCAGAGGGATGCACTGGTGTTCCATTAACATGGTCAGCTCACATCCTTTGACTGGCCATTCAGAGGTACAGGACGCTGTGCAGACACACAGCATACCTGTATTGGGTAGATTGTTTAGCCAACACACCCCCCTGACCAATTATATCCTGCCGCTGGTACATACACCCTCCCAATCACGGCCTGCCTTTTGAACACACCCACTGCTCTATCACAGCTTCAGGCTGAACAAGCTATAGAATACAGGCACATTGTGTGTTTGTACAATGTCCTGTAACCTCACCCCCCCCCCAACTATCAAGGAGAAGAGATGCATGGTCCCATGAACACAGCCTCTTAATCTTGTAAAAAAGTAAGAAAGATAATTTATGAAACTGCAGTTATGGCGCCTTCATAGTTATATCTGTATTAGAAAGTGTCTGTAACATAGTATGTTCACAACTACTTTAGGACCAATTACAGTAGGGAGATGACCAAGGAAACAGGAAACAGTTACCCGTAGAATTGTTGGTCAGTTTGACCCTTCTCTATTCTGCAACACACTACCTCTATGATAAAATCTCACTTCTGCCTTGCCCCTAACCTGGCCAATTCTATCTACAACATCCTCCCTGGACACACTTGCTTCCCTTATGACAAACAGAATTTTGACCCAACCTTGGCACACAGGCAGCAACAGAAGTCTACAAAGACATATCTCCCACCTAACACACCAAGTATCACCACATTCAATACTTTCCTCTTGTGACCCAGTTGCTACAGAGGAGGATACCAAACTTTTCTCTGACGCCCACCTAACCTTACCTAACCTGCTCTGTGACCCTGTTTCCTCACAACTACTTTGGTCATCCTTTTACTCTATTCTCAGCTCTCTAACATATCTTCAATCTCTCTCTCAACTGGTAGGTCCCCCCTCTCCTCTAAAATGGGCAAAGGTCATCAGCATATTTAAAAAGCCTTCACTGGATACCACCAGTCTGAACAACCTACGAGCTAGCACGTCCTGGTTCCTGTTTACCTCCAGACTTCTAAAACACCTAGCCTATAACCGTGAAAAACCCAAATACTTCTGCGTTTAGGGATGGACTCTATGTCCTAGGGATTACACAACGAAAGTCTTGGAATATACGCACCTTGCTGTCCTCAAAGAACCGGGGAGTCTAAAAGTGCTAACAGAGAAAAACAAAATAGAGGGCCTCTGAGGAAGAGGCTAGTCCTCGAAACGCGTCAGTTTTGGATGTCCATCATTCTCATCACCATTCAGAAACGCAGTGCAAATTGGACAGAGCGGTCTCATATATGATGTGCTTATATTCATGTACTTTTGTGAGTAGGATACCTTCTTTTATATTTATTAGACATATTTTTAAAGGTAATGCACAAGGCCGGTGCGCTCTCTGTTTTGTTTTTCTCACCTAGCCTATAACTGTGTGAGCTGCTACCCCACTTATAACAACCTTCTCGACACTTTAACGGCTTTCTCCCGCAACACTCCATAGAAACTTACCCCTTCTAAACCTTACTAAAACCTTACTAAATGCTAAAACCAATGGCCACTACTCTGCATGCAGTGTTCTATCCAGCCAGCAGATGAAGCTCTAGTCTACTTTTCACATGGGAAGCATTGCATCACTTTGCTGTAAAGCAGGGGTCCTCAAACTATGGCCCGCAGGCCACAAGTGGCCCGCCGAGGCCATTTATCCGGCCCGCCGGCAGGGGCATATTTGCCGCGAGGAAGGGACACTAAACTAAGTACAGGGGCGGGCAGGGGGCTGCTATATCTTACCTGGCTCCGGTCCCAGTCCCACGACGATCCAGTCCAGGAAGCGCTGCTCCTTCATTCACTCCGGCCACTCCATCACTCGATGTTGCTGCTCGGCTCCGCCTCCTCATCGGTGATTGGGCGCCAGAACTGTAGCTCAGGAAAGGCACACAGGCGGCCAATCACCTGCAAGGAGGCAGAGCCGAGCGGCCCCGCGAACATCGAGTGAGGGAGAGGCCGGAGTGAAGGACAGCTGACAAGTAAGTGTGCCATGCAGATGGTGCTGCTGCAACCAGATATGCTGGCTGCAGCAGCACCATGCTGGAACAGGGGTCAGCAAGTTAAGTGTCATTGGTGTCAGTGGGAGGAATAGTGCCCCATCATTGGTGTCACTGATACTAATGATGGGGCATTATTCCTCCCACTGACACCAATGATGGGACACTATTCCTCCCCCCACTGACACCAACGATGGGGCACTATTCCTCCCCCCCACTGACACCAACGATGGGGCACTATTCCACCCCCCACTGACACCAACGATAGAACACTATTCCTTCCCCCACTGACACCAATGATGGGGTACTATTCCTCCCACTGACACCAATGTTGGGACATTATCCCCCCCACTGACACCAATGACGGGCACTATTCCCCCCCACTGACACCAATGACGTACTATTCCTCCCACTGACACCAAAGATGGGGCACTATTCTTCCCACTGACACCAATGATGGGACACTATTCCTCCCACTGACACAAATGATGGGGCACTATTCCCCCTCCCCCACACTGACACCAACGATGGGGCACTATTCCTCCCCCCACTGACACCAACAATGGGGCACTATTCCTCCCACTGACACCAATGATGGGGCACTATTCCTCCCACTGACACCAATGATGGGGCACTATTCCTCCCACTGACACCAATGATGGTGAACGATTCTTCCCACTGACACCAATGATGGGGCACTATTCCTCCCACTGACACCAATGATGGGGCACTATTCCTCCCACTGACACCAATGATGGGGCACTGTTCCTCCCACTGACACCAATGATGGGGCACGATTCTTCCCACTGACACCAATGATGGGGCACTATTCCTCCCACTGACACCAATGATGGGGCATGTTTCTTCCCACTGACACCAATGATGGGGCACGTTTCTTCCTACTGACACCAATGATGGGGCACTATTCCTCCCACTGACACTAATGATGGGGCACTATTTTGCTCCATAAGACACACTTGGGGGAAATGTCTGTGCGACAGTATTCCTGCCGCCGTTGCATGTCCGCAGTCTCTGGTCATCTCCTGTACTGTGTCCTCATTTGTTCATAGATTTTTTTTTTTTTTAAACTATAGTCCGACCCTCCAACGGTCTGAGGGACAGTGAACTGGCCCCCTGTTTAAAAAGTTTGAGGACCCCTGCTGTAAAGTGATGGAAGTCTGTAGTTAACAGTTCTTACAGAAAGGCTCCATGTACACGAGACGTTGGAAAACAATTCTGAACGATGGAAACTGACTGCTGGAAAACGTAGGTTAAAAAATGTCTGTTTAGCCGCGTTTGCATATTGCGTTTATGAGTGTTTGCGTTTAGAAGTGTTTTTTAAAGATAACCTCAGGAGACCTTTCAAAATGCCCAGAATGCACTGAAAAACAGTAAACAATTAACTATTTCAGAAATTTTGAGAGAAATAGAGAGAGCAGAAGCAGAGAGAGTAGTATTTGTTGAGTTTTTTTTTTTGTGGTGTTTGGATGTGTTACAGCTCATTTCTGTGCAGAAATTATTGCAGCAATGTCTACAATATTTTCTTTCATGCGAAACCTCAAAGTATGGTGTACCAGGTCCATTTGAGTACCGAGAAAACACTTTGCATGCATTTTTCATGATGAAAAAAGGCTCTGGACAGCATCTGGAAATGGAAAAGGTAAAAAAAATGTCCAAAACACAAATGCTTATAAACGCGGTTAGCCACGTTTACACGAGTTTACAAGTGTTTGGCATTTGAACCCCTGATAAAATCTACTCCTGAACGCAAGTTTGGTGCATTAAAAATAACGACTGTAAACTCAACTGCCTATAAACGACTGTAAACGACTATGTGTACATGGACACATTGCAAAACATTAGGGTGAGTTCAGGGGCTGCTGAAAAAAACGCAGAAAAGCTCCTAAAAGTGAGTTTATCAGCTGCAGTGTACATGGAGCCTAAGAGTCCTATCTTATCAGATGGCTCAGCAGGAGGTATCAGTCAGACAAAAGGAGCTGCAATGTAAGCACCAGGGGCGGACTGACCATTTGGAAACTCAGGCACTGCCCAAGGGCCTGGGGTCAGTAGGGGGCCCCATGAGATGCCCCTGGTACCATTTTCATAGGCTGTTTTGAGTTTGGGCAAGGACACAGGGGCCCCATGATCCCCTATTGCCCGGGGGCCCCATGAGCTGTCAGTCCGCCCCTGGTAAGCACCATCTGTTGTGTTGTCTCTTTAGCTAACTGATAGTGGTTTGGAAATCCTTTCTCATAAAAAAGCAGATTTGTAACAGAATAAAAATGTATAACCTTTAAAAAATCAACTAACATATGTTTGAACTGAAACCATTATAGTTTCTTTTTAAAAACACACTCCTTGTTCTGTCTATCTCGGAGCAGATTAACATCAAAGTGTCCCTGGAAATTAATTGAAAAAATTGGCAACTGGGCTGTGCCATAGCATTTGGAAGCAGCTGATAGAAAATAATCCCATGATGAACTGGAGTGTGGGCACTTATTATTGTATAGCATTGTATTCTGTCCCTTTTTACAAATGGACAGCTATCAGACAGATAATGGATGAATCTTTGTTATATCAGGTAGAATCCTGGGAATTTCTTGAAAGTCCATTTGGCTTTGAGTTTAGAGATGGAGGCTCAGGTGTGTTTGAATCTGTACATGAAAAGAGGACTGCAGATCCAACATTCCTGCTACTCAGGAGAGACTGACATAGAAAATGCAGCACTTTCAAATTACACAGTATGTTCATTGACTGATTCTTTTTTTTCTAAAAAAGAAAAAAATGTTGAAGAAATTTGAACACTAACTAAAGGAGCCATCAGTTTTTTAGATTGTATTTATATGATAGACTCATGAAGGCGGTTATAAGGATACAGTGTGTGGAAATATGACTGGGACTAAAGCTGGCTGTAGATGGCAGAGGGGCCTTGAATCCTCCACGGAGTTTTGGATCTAGCTAAAACTTGAATTGTGCTCCACAGAGAAAGCTTCTTGTGTTTTTTGTTTGTGTTCTTTTGCTGTGATATTCATTTTCAATCAAGAGATTCACCCACAGTACTTTTTTTCTGTGGCTAAATGTCCTCAATCCGATGGTCAGTATCATTAAACACACTTCCTTTGAGCCCAGGTCATCCTGGACTTGCACCAGCCTGTGACTAGACAGTGGAAGGAGAAGCAGCACAGTGATGATCTTTCTGTTACTCTGCTTTCTTCTTTTTATCAGCGGCTCATAAACTGACTGGCCTCTAGTGCTGCTACTTCCTTTCATACTTTAGCTCTACAGTACAGGGACTGCAAGGCAGATACCAGGTCATATTTGTATATTTACCCTGATTTCATTAAAAAAAAAAAAAAAAAACCTTTATGATGTATTGATGATTGCAGAGTTCCATTAATTTGTATACCCCTTGATGACGTCAGTGTGACGAAACCGGTTGGGTGTAGCCTATTTGATGTGGACGTTAGAGAGCCTTGCTGGTCTGTGCTGTATGGGAGAGATCTGCGGTGAGCGTTAACTGTATCTCAACCCTTTTTTGCGATTGAAGCTGGTGTCTGTTGGACACCTTGTTTGTGAGTTTCCTTATACCTTTTTTATTAAAGAGATAAATGAAAAAAAAACGTATTGCACCATTATGTTCTCTTTTTTGTCCCTGAGTGTACTGCATGCTCTCATGGAGGTATGAGAAAGAGTGGAGAAGTTCATCATAAGAGCTTGGGCTGCAAAGTTGTTTGTCTGTGATTATTATTATGGAAGTATCTGAAACATCACCATATCTATTTGGACATCGGGTTCATTGCTCCCAGAGCACAAGCGCTGTTGCTGGTTTATAATCTGACCAGCCATTAGCTCTGGTGAGTTCATTTAATCTCCTTTGGTGGTGGATTTTTCACAATTGGTTCAAGTCACTGAAGATATATTTTTTTTTTTGGACACTAATTTATGTTTGGACACTATAATTATTTATTTAAAACACTAATGTTTTTTGGATGATGACATACACCTTTGTATAAATTTGTTATTAGCGCATACCTTTTAATTAGGATTATTGTTGCCAAAATTTATTTTGGGTGGGATATGCTGCTGACATTTTGGTGTTTTTTTGTAAGTGGCGCTTTTTTCTTTTTTAATTTGATAAAGAAAGCTATACCTGACTCCTGAAAAAAATGACATAAAATTTGCATGACTGAGTAATTGTCAGTAAAATTATCACAGTGCTGAAAACTGAAAAATGGCCTGGCAATGAAGGGATATTATAGGTTGTTACTCAAGTGGGGAATGAAGGCCTTGCTGCAGGTCACAATAAATCTAAAATTAGCTAGCTTGGATAGGCTCATATTATCTACATTATTTATCCGGGTTGGAATTTTAAACTTAACAACTTTAAATAATTTAATATGGTTTATGTTATCCGTTACCTTTAATTACTGGTCGAAAACTCAATGTGTATATGTGTGGTGAATATAAGTAATTCTGGTATCAACTGTCACATAATAGCTGAGCTATAAAATTGTTACCAAGTAATAAAATGATCAAAGATGATAGAGGAAATGGCTTCAACCTCATCATCAAGCATCATTCAAGTGACAGACTATACGGTTCCTTTCTGTAGTAAGCTAAAAGACGTTTAGAGAAATCACCATGAAATGCTATTTTTTCTAGACAGCCTATATTATATGTAGAGGGAAGTTCTGGCTGTCTGCAGAGACAGAACTCATAAAAAGGTTGCTAAGGTCAAAGTGAATAACAATGAATAATTGAAGCCTTCTCTCAACAGCCCCTTCCAGTGAACCTGACACTGAACCTTTTCATTATAGACGGATGCTTGAGAGCCAAAAACCAGATCAATCATCAGTTGGGATAACCAGGTGCAATAAGGATTTCCATTTGCGCACTTCTGGCCTGATACATTGATGCACTTACTGCAGGGAAAGAAGCATCCCATTATAGAGCTAAATTTGCTTCCATTGTTTTCTTGTCTAGCGTTCTGAGCAAAATGGCATAATTACTGTAATAACAGGTTTTATAGGTGGATGAATAAAGTCAACAAATGTGTTTGTTTAGTGTTTTCTCCAATTCTATTTCCTATGTTAAGGACTAAAAATTTAATTTTAATTTTTTTTAAATATTCCTTTCAGAGTCAGGTAATCATAAAATTTTGCAGATAAATATTTAATATATATTTTTCCTAGTCAGAAGATGGAGTTTTAGGCTTAGTTTAGGTTTCAAGCTTTTAGTTATATATGTGTATGTGTATATATATATATATATATATATATATATATATATATACACTATATTACCAAAAGTATTGGGACGCCTGCCTTTACAACCACATGAACTTTAATGGCATCCCAGTCTTAGTCCGTAGGTAGGGTTCAATATTGAGTTGGCCCACCCTGAGAACACGTCTCCACTGCTCTAGAGTCCAGTAGCGGCGTGCTTTACACCACTGCATCTGACGCTTTGCATTGCACTTGTAAGGCTTGGATGCAGCTGCATGGCCATGGAAAACGATTCCATGAAGCTCTCTATGCACTGTTGTTGTGCTGATCTGAAGGCCACATGAAGTTTGGAGGTCTTTATCTATTGACTCTGCAGA